TTAGTATTATTAAGTAACTTGTGATAACTGATGATTCCAAAGCAAACAAAATTTAAAAATGGCTTTCGTTATGTGTCATTTTTAACAAAAATATTAAGCTTTAAGCTGCATTATCCAGTGCTATACGCATAAATCTAAATATTGTCATCTGACACAGCTATTTTTGGTCATTGGTTAAATATTATTAAGTAACTTGTGATAACTGATGATTCCAAAACAAACGATAAGTAAAAATGGCTTTCGTTTTGTGTCATTTTTAACAAAAACATTAAGCTTTAAGCTGCATTATCCAGTGCTATACGCATAAATCTAAATATTGTCATCTGACACAGCTATTTTTGGTCATAGGTTTAGTATTATTAAGTAACTTGTGATAAGTGATGATTCCAAAGCAAACAAAATTTAAAAATGGCTTTCGTTATGTGCCATTTTTAACAAAAACATTAAGCTTTAAGCTGCATTATCCAGTGCTATACGCATAAATCTAAATATTGTCATCTGACACAGCTATTTTTGGTCATTGGTTTAGTATTATTAAGTAACTTGTGATAAGTGATGATTCCAAAACAAACGAGAGGTAAAAATGGCTTTCGTTATGTGTCACTTTTAACAAAAACATTTAGCTTTAAGCTGCATTATCCAGTGCTATACGCATAAATCTAAATATTGTCATCTGACACAGCTATTTTTGGTCATAGGTTTAGTATTATTAAGTAACTTGTGATAACTGATGATTCCAAAGCAAACGATAAGTAAAAATGGCTTTAGTTTTGTGTCATTTTTAACAAAAACATTAAGCTTTAAGCTGCATTATCCAGTGCTATACACATAAATCTAAATAAGGGTCATATAAACTTAATAAGTCGTGGCTGAACTTTGGAGCTTTGACTCTGCAGGAAGCCTTTTTACCACGGGGCGTTTTCCCTAAACAGCATTGACGTTTCATTCTGGCTCCTGATCAAGAAAATGACAGTTAAGAATAATTAGCTGATGGATTCGGGGGCTGGCCGGGCTCCTCTAATGCAGCTAGCATCACGCACCGTGCACTGTGCTGAACAAACCAGAATGAAGATAAAAGATTGATTTTTAGGCCGTAAAGCATCATTTGCTACTGTCAACTTGCTGCTGAGTTACAACTCTTCTGCAGCCCCCACATTGCGGTTTGTTTGAATTCTGGTGGGCAGAATCAAACACAAACGCTGAGACTAAAATGGGGCCGAGGCACTCGACAAAAGCCAGAGTCGAGCTGGTGTTCTGGAGAGCTGTTAGCAAAAGGGACAAAGGAGAGTTTTTGGATAAAAAAACAGGCTCATATTCAACATGTGCTCATGCCACTGTGGCAAAAAGGAACCTGAGAGGTGAAATATGAAGAGAAGTGGTGGTTATTCCCAATAAAGGGCTCACACAAGTAAGCAAAAAAGAATAATCTCACATAAGTACTCAAAACATCTCTCAAAATTCCCAGAAATTAAAGTAATTCCAGATAAAAGCTATCGCTTATTTCCCTAATTTTGTGCAAAAACTCAATTCTCAGAGTAAATAACCTGGTTTCTATGTCTATTTGCTCAAACCGTGTACATTTGTCATTAGCTACGGTTAGAACTGGGCTTTAGTTCCTCCCTTTA